CAATGACGATTTTTTGTACAATAGTAAAATATCAAATGTCAAAGCTTAGTTTTTATAAATAGGAGATTCAATGAAAATGTTCAGATTCTTATCAATGTAATGGAATTCAAATAACAGACATTAATATATAACATAGATATGATACAAGTAATGAGAAATCACAGGTGGAACATGTTTCTTCTGTAAAGGTTTGACACAAAATGTATACCCCACAGGTAGATTTTTGTGTACTTTCGCTTTCTATTTATACAATAGTTATTCAACTTACTTGAGTTTTGTCTAAATGGAAAAGCACAAGAAACAATTAAATATTACACAAAACACATTCCCAAATATTATATTATAAATGTATCACAAACTAAAAAAAAAAAATGAAACAAAACAAAATAAAACCATATGTATAACTATTTACATCATACCAGCTGAGGGAAAACTTACTACACAAAATATATATAGTCTGAATATTAATTGAAATCATATAGAATATGATTATAATGATTCCTAACTTCATCAATCATCTAAAAAATGATTTATCTGTACCTTTGTATCACAATCCCTGATGAGTTCGTTACACAAACCCATCCGTCAATGCAAGGTACAGTGCAAGTTATTAGAGCGACAGAAATGTCCCATAACAGCTAAGGCCCTGTGGAGGAATGTTTTTAATTGACGTTATAAACTTGACATTCTCCAGGGTATTACAGTCCATGTCTGCAGTATTAAGCCAAAAATGAAATATGATCTCGGTTTTATTACAGAATACATTTATAAACAATACAAAACAAAAAAAATATAGAAAACTCCAATATGGAGACGTACAGTTATATCAATCACCTAACAGAAATTTAGATGCAAAATGAGTTTCTATTAGTAAATCAAAAACAATGTGACTGGCTTTACACTGATGCACTGAACACTGCCTGTTTATCACCACTTCCAGCGTTACTGACCCTATCACAAAATCTCTTTGGTTAAAATCACATTTCATAGAGCATCACATTTCCAACTTCAACAACACCTACAACCCTGCGCACGCAGCAATATCATTACAGTTTCTGTATGACAAATCATAAAGCATATTTCTTACTGTAGTTCCCCTTGCTTATCTTTATTCAGTTAGTCTGTCAGTAAGCACACTTCTTTTAAATGGAACGATCTCCACTCACCTTACCGAAAAACGTAAAACGTAATCGCACTAAATCCTTGTACTACTTACATAAAAATATATCACAACAAACCAATATCACATCAATTTAATCTTGACCTCAATTTACTGTTACACAGCATCATCCAACACAATTTCAGAATCCTTCACCAATCCAAAACTTACCTGTATATCTTTTATTAAAGGAAAGTAAAATGAGACATGAACTGACTGTAAGTAAAAATCTAAGTAACCTGATTCAATAAAACTGTCAGAATTCAGATAACCATATTTAATCAAATAAGTGTATTTTTTGTCTATGGAAAAAAAAATCTATAACAGAGAATACTGTTTACATTTAATGTGATGAGACATGAAACACAGCTTAAAGAAAGGTGAGAAAATACTTCTATGGAAGGTAATGAGTTAAATTGCTGAATACTGTCATGACAGTGAAAAAATAACTTTTTCATAGTGTTTTACTATTAAAGTTCAATCATACTCTTCCCAAAGGCAGATATGCTTATTAGGTTAAATACAGAAACTTGGATTCTTATAAACAAAATTGAATCAGCACAAGTCAGCATACTCCTGTTTATTGTTCCTAATTACTGGTAATAACCCTTACTTTCTCTTCTCTACTCTCTTACACTATAGTCTATATATCAGCACCATCAGCATACAGTGACATCACAAAATCATAACAAGTTCTGTACATCTTATAACAAATAGTAATCTTCCTGTTTGATTTAAATGAGACATTTCAAAATAAAATATGATCACAAAGAAATCTCACCAAGGCCTTTGGCTGTGTGAGCTAAACAAACACTGACTGTCAAAAATAGGACAAAAAAATCAATTAACTGTAAGTATAAGAATGCATATATTCACACCACAGCTTCTTGGTGTAAATTCTGATGTAAGTTTCATTTAAAAATAACTGTAAATGACAAACAGAAAGAAAAAAAAAGATCAATGCTTTGTATATTTTTTCAAACAGAATGAAAAAATAAACTGCAGTCTTAAAGCTGGGGCCCACATATTAATCTTTTCAACTTAATTTGATAATTCCATTAAAAACATATCAGTGCAGTAAACTTAGTCAACAGAGAAATTCTGCCATTAATTTGCCTTTCAAAAACAATTTTTTTATACACTTCAGTATTGAAATAGAGGCTTCACTTTTCTATAAATAAAGTATCGCCATACTTATAATGAATCTATATATGGCTTCATTTATTTTGTCGTATATTTCACCATAGCTATCATTAACTGGTACACACATACTTGTGCCACCAGTCTTAAAAAATATAGCACTTCATAGGAAAATCACAGTAATGTATCACATGACAATTTCCTTACTTATATTTATTGAAGTTAACACACCAACTCCATCAAGGCTATTGATGGGTCTCAACTGCACATTTCCTATTTAATAATTGATGTATTTAAAAACTATATGTTAATCTAATTAGAAAACTGCTACCATTTTTATTCTGTTACCCACCTATCTTCAAAAGTAGTTAACCATCATATTACAGTTCCTTTTTGCCTTGGTTTTAATGCTCTCTTTGCGGAGAGGAAATTGTGCAACATATCATTTATTTTTTTAAAGCAAAATCTGTGACCTCTAAAATCATCATCCGTTCACAAATTGTTCAACACCATGTAAATCAAGCACACTTTAGTTATCTCCCTTTCTGATCTCACACATTCCCAGTGGTAGTGTGATCAACAATTATCACCACAAACAGAAAAGAAATTTACTTTTTGGTCAATAAGAAGTTAAATAGTACATCAATTGAAACAGTGATATGATGGTAAACAAAGTTAAGTTATACTCTAGATTTTTCATTCGGTTTGAAAACTTAGTAAAATTTAAAACAGAACAAACTTGTAAAAATATCTTACAACATATACATAGTAAATTTTAAACTCTTTTAGCACATCATATTTTTCTGGGACAATATTGATCAACATTGGCTAAAATGTCATGAACATTAAATCTGTACACCTACTACAACATTGCTGCTTGCACATAAATATAAAATTAATGTACTTACATTGAACTTTAAACTTTCCAGGTAATATTCTTCAGAGGTGGATTTCTATAATTAATATATATTAACCCTGATTTATTAAACATGTATGTAACATGTACTAACAAAATACAGGCAGATATGCTGCAGGTATAAGAGTTATCACATACAAATACATTTCCTACTATTACAATAGGAAACAGCTTTTTGGCATCTTTGTCAGCCTAGGGTTTCAATCTGCCTACACAGAGTAACTACATGTAGGAAGATTGTAGTCACAGCCAGTGAAGATGATGCAAACATAGAAAAATATCTCTTTAATTCAATCCCTCTACCAAAACAATGATAAAATCCAGATTTAAAAAATGTAGTAACAATACATTCGCTCCTTTATATTACACAGTAAAAAAGGGGCAATATTTTGTACAATGTCAAGTGGGATTGATATAAAACCTCAGTAACACATATATCAACAGACCAATGTATTATGTACTCTTTCTAACCAAACAATTGTTGATTAACTTTTAAATCACCAGTGATGATCTCCTGAAAGTACAAAGTATATCAATGATTCACAGTAAATACTGAGTAGGTGTTAATACTTCAGAGCTTATACTTTGTAATTTTCTGATTACAAAAGATTTAATGGGATAATATTTTTGAATGGATTACATCTTCAAACTGTAGCTATAACTACTAGGTGTGTACAATCACTCATACTTTTCCGTGTATAATATATTCATCATGATAACCTTTGATAATCAAATTAATTAGGTATATCACTTAGTTCCCCCTTTTAATGATCTTGAAAGTAGTTACATAATGAACTAAACTTCTCTTAAATATTGCCATCTATACAGAGTTTTACAGCATACATATCAAAATACAATGATAGCTGATCAAAAAATAAATAATTGTGAACTATCAGCTTTATTCATCAAGAAAGTGGGAAAAGTCATACTCTAGTTATGATATATTATCTATACATTTTACATCTGTATTGCTCAACACTAACAATAAATACAGTTAAGTAAAATCTGACACACCACCATTTTTCTGACTGATATGAAACCTAATCCAAGCAGAGGTGATGAGCAAGATCATTTATGAAAGCATAATATCCATGATACTGTGATACAATGCTGGGAGTTTTCTCAAAATAGAATATGTGTCTATTAGATATGAATACCTCTGCTCATATGTGAATTAGAACCACTGTTTGACATGACTTTTGCATACAGCACATTTCAGTTTGATCAAAAGTCTTGATTTAAGGATCAGATCACTGAACCGGCTGATGATCATTTCTAAATAATAATTATGACCTTGAACTAAGCTGTGGAAAAAATAGGGAACCATCGAAGGTGTTGTTGGAGTTAACCTTTGTCCAAAATTTTACCACACAGAATGCACAGGTACAAGATGAGACAAGATGACCACAGGAAACACTATATGCCCCTTGTGCCTAGACCATACAATTCTAGCTTCTATAAAGTGATGACATAAACTACACCATACAGAAACTAAAAATCATATTGATATTGGTATAGTAAATATGTATAATGCTTTTTGCATGTTCCTAAAAATCATTTTGAATGATTTCTGATATGGCACAGTATTCCATTTATCATTCTGACAATGACTAATTTGGAAAATAAATGTGAAGTTGTGGCAATTATTGTTTAAACAACAAACAAATATGCCATATATAGACACTACTTATTCTGTCATCTGTAAGCTTACTGTCGAAATTTTATTAACCACGACTTGATGAAAAATGAAGACAGATTGTCAACATCTTAAAGTTGACATGGCCATATATCAATCAGATTGAAACACTGTGTCGTACAAATATGTGATTTTGATTCTGCATCTCAAACCATGCTGGGACTGGAAGTTGAGGGATCACCACTCTCACTGCTTGCTGATTCAGGCTTCATTGGCTGTCGCATACGTTTCAACATCCCTGGCTCAAACTGCGGGTGGCGACGGGCATGTTTATTCAGGTGGTCACTCCTCATAAACCTCTTTTCACAGAGGGGACACTGGAATTTTTTCTCACCTATATAAAATAAATTCTTGAATGAAATTGTGATATTCATACCCAATTCACTTCTACTCCCCTCATTTTCCAAAAGAGGCAATAATGTCAAAGGAATCAGTAAAAAATAGCTTTTTTTATTTAATTTTTTTTCCTCCCACTTTTATTTTGTTGAAATCCATTGCTTAAATCAAACTCTTAAGGTAATATGTTAGGACTGTTACTTAAAAATTTATAGAGACAAATTCTTAAAATCAATCATATGGTTTAAAGCATCAAATTAGTTTATTCACTTTGTCATATAATTATTTCAAACCAGTCAAAGATAGAAGAGTTTTGAAAATCACAGGTGTATTAAAGTAAAAACTAACATGATCACTACAGTCATTGCAATTTTTTTTAATCTTAATATAACCAAAATAAGTTAATTAATTAATTTTTACGACAATACATCATCAATAACTGATGTTTGTCACTGATCATAGTTATAATCAGTAATAATGATCAAGGAATCTTTAAATCATTTTCAATATTTGTCAAGCTAAAAATACATTCTCTACTTGTCCAATGCCTCACCAGTGTGTGTCCTTATATGTCGAGCCAATTCATCAGACCTTGCAAATCTCTTCTCACAGGCTGGCCAGCTACATGGGAAAGGGCGCTCTCCTGTACAACAACAATTATAAAAACATCAAAGTTTGTCTGCTACGCACATCACATATAAGGGGAGGGAACTCCTGGAAGGGCATTGGATTTCATCTGGAAAAATTCTTTTGTAATTGAAATATATGTCTTTATCATCATATATTCATGATTATGATAAAGTAACTTAAATGCCCATATTTTAGTATTTCAAATGTTCTGTTATTGAAAAAAAATAAAAACGTTGAATTTCAAAAGTCTGTACTCTGACATTTTTTTTTCAAAATCCCAACCCAACTGAATCTAATAGTAGTGATCCCCAAGGCAATAAATCAGAGAAATGAAGTCAAATTACATTCAGATGTATAAACTTTTCCACAACAGCTTTGTCTTTGCATCACAACCTATCTTTCTGGGAAAGGCAATAGACAAGCTTATAAAACCAAAGCCAGTAAAATTATGTACTTCACTCGTCAACCACAAATCTATGTAACAGCATCTGATTCGGTGTTCAAATTCTCAGCCTCTCATTCTCAGTGAAATTGTTAAATAATATGGCTGATTACCTAATTATTTTTTTAATTTAGCCGATAAAAAGTTTCATGTCACATATTTCTGATTGACATGGAACATTTTCCATGTTGAAAGCTCTTATTAGTGCACTTCTAAGGTCAATTTGACAAATGGTGCGGAAGGAAAATTAGTCTGAACCAAAATAATGACCATTTTCCTGATTTTTGTCAAAGTGCAATGTCTCTTTCCAATGTCTCTTCAAAGCAAAGCTGTTTTAGGAGAGTGCAACTTGTCATGATGATTCAATAACTCCACAAAGTCAAACTTTGTAGTAGAAAAATTAGGAAAGTTTCACACTACCAACCAATAAAGTTTCAAAGAGATTGGTCAGGAAATGAAAAGAAAAAAAAACTGAGAGTTTTTTCAGGGTTATTGACAATTTGTGAAATATTCATATACATGCAGATCCAAGGATTTATCTAGACATTTTCTTTTCCAACAAGAAAAGGGTATAGTTTTCTTCGAGTGGTATGTTTTCTCCTCTAAACAAAAAAAAATAGTAATGGAAAAATACCATGAAGAAAATATTGAAAACATGAGGAAATCTTCCCTAAAACAGAGTATCATATTTTCACTTCAATCATTTCAAAATCAAATTATTATGAAAAAATTATCAATCTAACCTCACCATCTTCATCTATTATTTGTGTAATTTTCATGTTTATCACATATTTATTTCCATCCCTCTTTCGAATTATGACAAAAAGAGCTGTCCAAACTTTCTCCATTTGTCCACAATGGATAGAATTTCCTTATTTTTTAGATTAACCCATGCAGATCTTTAAGTATTTATACCGAGCATTTCTGTCAAAATTTGTCAAACATACAAAAATGTGTTCAATTTGTAATTCAAAGTTTTAAATTTTCAAAATAATATCTAAATTTAACAAAGCTGTTAATAAGTTCATCTAAACTGAAAAAGTATAACATTAATAATACTTCATATATATTATCAATTGATATTGGTAATTAAATGATACACATTACATCTAGTTCCTGGTCCACGAAATATTTACATATTAAAGAATAAAATGAATACTTTATCTGTTTTCAATAGTTAACATTACCCTAAGGCTAACTAAAGTCGGTGATGGAAAACTAGTACACCTGTCCATTCATTCTTAATGTATGTATGTAAATCAGCGAAATTGATATGTCTATACCACTACAAAATCTACATCAATCAGAATAATTTAAATACAGGTGACGGGGTAAATTATGAGCTCTGATTGGCTAGCGATTCCAGATGACACACGCACATTGTCACTACAGATGTCATGCTCCAGTGCTGCTTAGTAAAAATTACTTATCACTTACTTTAGTAGTCTATCTATATTTCCTTTTATCTGTAGTCACATTTAGCGCGGTAAAATAAAGTAAATACAATCGTGCCTTGATCGTTTTTAGGAATGCCCTGTTTTTACAACTGGCACAGTAGATATACACGATAACAAAAAACTTGCATATACAAAGAGATAAAAAAATCTTAATAAAATCTATCTCTTTATCGCATGGAAATAAAAACTTCAAATAACTCTTCTGAAAGTTACTTTCAAATTAGACAGACCATAATAAAAAGAGAAAAACAAAGACTTGAATCTGTAAATAACTTTTGTAGTACTAAGAACTGAATTCTGAAATAAAAATCTGAGAACTAGAAACTGGTCTCTGTATACAAGAGTGTAATAGTAACCAATAATAATACAAGTCTTTGTTAATTTCTAGTTTTCTACATAGGACATTTTGAGTTAGCTACAAATCAAACAATTTATATCTTGATTAAATGAGTGCCCAAAAGAATTCAATTCCACAAATTCTACTTCATATTGTATTACAATAAGTAAACATATATATTGGAAATCGACCAAAGCAATTACTGAAAAGGCAGGCCTGTGATATAAAACAAACTGTATCCATGTTGTAGAGCTATAAATAAACACAATGATATTGCAATGGATGACAAGTTTACAAATTTACTTCATAATCTTAAATTAACTGTATATAAAATATTCATTATTTTCACAACAAAATAGTTATTGGTCATAACATGTCAAATGCTGTAAACATTGCTGATGAAAACATTGGTTTTCTTTCCTCGGATCACCACGCCCATTCGTTCAATACCATGTGGTCGTCTTGATCAAACAAAGAAACACTTATTCTTAATCTATTGTGTTTACCTGTATGGGTCCGAAGATGCGCCTTGAGATGTGAACTCTTCCCATAAACCTTGCCACATCCTTTAAAAGAACATTTATGTACTTTTTTGGCTCCACCAGAACGTCCTTTATTGTAACTGTGATCTTCAGTATTGCAGTCAGTGGGCGTGGTACCATGCTTCGAGCGCTTTCGTTTTCGTGGTGTATTTGTGTCCAAGAAATTCTCGTCATTTGGCACTGATCTGTAATTAAAGCTCTTTAACTCACTGCTGATATAATCGTGATCTATAGGTTCTTGTTTGAATTTACTTAAATCCGTCAATATTCGAGCCAACATGACCAAAGAATTCGAGTCTGTTGTAGTTACGTCGTTGGCTTCTAAAGAGGCCATTTTACAATCAGCTGGTTCCGCAGCAACAACACATGGATTAGACATCGCCACTAAACACTGTGCAGCAAGATCTGTATCAAAATCTCTTCTTGTCACTTCCTGTAAAGCCATAGTTTATCATGTAACAGTGAAATCCCGCAAATTATACACAGAAATTTTGATGAATATGGAACACGATTTCCGGATGTTTATATTCTTCTTTGTTGTGTTTCACAACCAGACGAAACAAAACGTGCTACTGTGTGACATCAGCGACAGATGAACACGTCATGAATTGAATGGTAAACCTGGTCTTACTTCAGAAATACTCATCGAAGTTGTCGTCTGCCTCGATTGTCACTCGAGAGCTCGATAGGAATCATCGAAGTGCGTTTCAATGGTATGCGTGTTCTGACCGCGTGCAGTGGGCGTAACCTCTCGCATAGGAACTGACGTCACGGTTAGTATGGAAGGTCACAAAAAGCCCGCGAAAACCGATTTATGAGAAGAACAGGTATAATCTATATTCAGATACTAGCGGACACTAATGAGTTTGATTTTTCAGTTAATTTTGTAAATTAATGGAGAAGAAACCATTTAACAACGCCCAAGTGCTTATTTTCCTTCTTTATTTTTTGCGCGTTTGAAATTAAGAATCGCTTGGTACATAAAACCACCGTCTTAGAATAAATTTATTCGAAGTCCCTGCTAAAATCCTCACAGAAAGCAGGTTAATTTGACAAATTACGCTTCATTTTGTGATGTATACATTGGCAGCTGAGTATTTAGGTAAAGGCAGCTACGCGAAAAAGACCAAGACGAAGCAGTAACTTTAGTTTCATCAGGGACGTATAATACGTCCCTGGTTTCATCAAGAAACAAGAATATTTAATGTATATATATATATAAGTCGCATATTTGAAACCATTAACACCTGATCTGTATAGCGATTGTAGCGAAAAAGTTTTAAAAACATCGAAGCCATTGAAAACAGTATTTGTAAGTTAACTTATTGCTGTCCACGAAATTTGAGAGAAACTGGGTATATGAAAGGGCCTGTAAAACCAATTAAAACTAGAAATGGTATGACATGCAAATATACTTTATTTCTAGTGAAGTGCTTCCGTTACGGGGTAAAATTATTTACCTACCATATTGTTAGCCCCAGATTTTAACCTCCCAATAGATTTTGTTCCCTGCTTTGTTGTACAATACAAATGTAAGAAAAAGAAAATATTAATAAATACCAACATGCCAACATAATCGAAATCCAAACTCCAAATCAGTAAAACTAAGGCAAAATATGAACAAAAGAATGATTCACACAGACTACTGAAAAAGTACTGGACGAAGAAGACCAGGTATTCTGGTAGAGTAAGCATCTTCTGCTCCACCAACAACACCCACAATGTAAACCTTGGTCAGTCCAATTAAGTAATGTCACATTCTCAAATGAGAACAAGGTATACAATAATGGAACCAACAGACCAACTAACAAGCATCAAACATGCCCAGATTCTTATTGCACATAGAAATAGAATATTTCTCAATGAGGTCACTGACAACCTGAACACTTCCCCATAATGTTCGTCAACCTGCATCTTCTCAAAATCTGTGTTATGAGTTTGTCAGTTGTCAACTTCTAGCAACAAATTCATGATAGTGTTAACCAGAAATAGAAAATTCAAAATAGAGAAATTAAAATAATCACAGTTATCTTACAACTTGGTGGAAAGCTGTTCCTGTTGGTTTCGTTGTAAGAAAAGATTGAGATAAGCAGTTGATGTAGAAGAGTCTGTATTGTGCCTTTGGTTTCCATTTCATATGGGTATATACGATGGACGTAGTCCATAAATTTCTGAGATTTTTGACGAACACATTACAATTTCACTGTTGAATGTCAAGTTAAAGAGAAACAGACTGGTCTGTGCTGATGTAGCATACAACGGTAGTCACCAGTTACTACAGGGAGACACCTGCCTAGGAAAGAACCCTGACTGGTTCAATAAACTAATCAAAACAAAGAAAATGGAAATAAGAGTCCTATTTCATTACCTGGAGGTATCCCAAATCTCTATATACATACATCAAGTAAAGGGTTAAAAAGAAGCTAATGTAACAGTATCACATGTTTGAAGTTCTTAAATCATTGTTATTAGGCTTCGATTTGACTAGCATTTGAAGTACATCACAATTATTCACACAATACCACACTTTCATGAAGATATATTGTGTCTCATTCTGTCAGTGTTTCCTGGCATCATTAACAGAATATCCGTTTGAATTTTGTTGCCAAAATATTCTAACTGGTATAATATTCATCAACCTGAGAAATTCAGTTGCCTTTTATTTTCTCTTGTATATATAAGTTTCTTTCTCATACAGCTGTACTGATTTTTCGCTATGTCCCTTCAAGTTTCTTTCCTGCAATGCATGTAGCATATGTGGCTTTCGAAGAAAACTGACCTCTGATGGTATATATATATATATAAGGGATCTTAAAATTTCAGGGGAAAAAAAATATCAAATTTAGTACTTGCACTTGAACATTTAGATATTCTCATCATGGGGATTTACCACCTACAGTCACATGTGTAATTGAAAAAAGAAGTTAGATTACTGTTTAAGTTTATATAAAGGACATTAAGATACAGTATATGAAAGTTTTGAACATTCCTTCTGAGGCTGATCTGTACCTGTCTAATATTTGTATATGACATGTCTTTAACTCAGGGTATTTCCATTTGATGATACATTCACTGATTTTGGAAGGGTATGAGGTTTGGGTAAAGGGTCCACTGCCGGTCAAAAAGGATAGATGGGAACCTCAGGCAGGTTGGTCACTAGGGGATGGATACTGAAAAGTATGCCAGGGATCACTCAGTAGTATCACTAAAACATTGTGGATAGAAGTGGCCCTGACAAGCCATAACTGGTGACTCTGGTCGGCAAATTCATAATAAAAGTATTCCTCTTACTTAACCTTGTGAAGCTGGTCGATGTTGAGTACACTTCCACCCACGATGTTTCACTGATATTAAGTAAGAGAGGATTTTAATTCAAATGTTTTCATAAAATCTAATTACTGAAATGAAATGAAGAACATTCCTTCTTTGCTGGAGACATTTGGAAATTATCTACCAATATCTCAAGAAATGTAGGAACCTACTACAGTACTTTTATTGTGCACATACAGTACATGTACCTTATTTCAAATTAGTTCGAAATATGTAATCAAAATATTCCCTTAATAATATAACCAAGGTGTAATAAGCAGTCTACTGGTTTCTTTTTTTTAAATGAAAACTGATCAATGTAATAAAACAAAGCAAACATACAAAAACAGACTTTAATGCATGACAGAAGGAATTCAAAAAGATTATTGAAATATATCACTCAAAATTTACAAAATATATCCAACAGATGATTTAAAATCAATAAATAAAATATTACTATATATACATACTACTTTTTCAAAATATAAGAAATTATATCCTCCTGAATATGATCATTGCCATGGGAGAACTAATTGGTATTTTCCTTTATTCTATTACAATTCTAACTTACAAGTATCCAAGTCTTGTAACTGAACAAGTCATATTCATGCATATCGCTTTAAAGGTTGAAAGTGTCCACGATAATTATGCAGGTAGAGTAGAGAATGTCGGAACAGATATCTGCTGAGGGATGTTCTACATTCAAATTCTAAGCAGTTTACTTCCTTATACTATAACATCTATTGCTCTCTTCTTCTCCAACCTTACAAGGGACTTCTAATTAGGTTTGAAAACAACCTTTACATTGTGAATATACATTTAAACCACAACAGTCAGACAAAAGGTCTTCTTGCCAGTTACAGCTGATGTATCTATCAACTGAAACAAATTTGCTTGTGGAATTTATGTACCAGTGAAATCCCTTGACTAATGTCCTCTTTTTGTATATTATGATTCTATGTTTACCCCCACCTCTTCCTCCTCATTATTTCCCCCTTATTTTTGCATGAAAATTATCAATCCTTCACAAAAGACTATTAAATGTATCAAAGCTTTAAAATTTGAAACTTGTACAAGAACCAACTAATGAATTCTATCGGTCTTTTTGGTCTTTAAGATTATTGGTAGTAGACACTACTGGACTTTTAGTCCCTGAAGTTGGGCATAATCTTCATGCCATGTTTTGTTCATTTGAATTGTGACATGGTTCAAAATACATACAAACGTATGTGACCTTTGGAAATTATCGGGTACCAGTATATATACAAATTATGAACTTGTGCACCTCCCGGTCTAGATTTTGATATTTTTTTGAGTCACCTTTGATTTTCTTCAGTCACTTTCCAGGTTTCAAAATCAAGGAGTTTAACAACAGCTGTGTGATGCAGTTTAATTCATTATTTGACTCAACTGTATCTAATTCTCAACTGATATTAAAAGGTGCTATGTGTGTCTTTTGTACAATATTTGACAGTCAAATTTGAAATGAATCACACAGCATTGATTGATCCTATTATCATTTATATGTATAATTAATCAAGGGTTAATATATTTTTGGACTGGCAATGACTAAACTAAATAACAAGCAAATTCATGGAATTTACATCCCACACTTTCCAACCATATTGACAAATGAAATCAAAAGATACCACATTAGTATGCATAATTATTAACAGATGACACTGATAGTCAAACTCAGTCTTAATGACCCCAAGATCCATCTGCTGACCAAGTTTCAAACAAACCCAAATTTATATCCCCCGTTTTGTTGAAAGTGGGGGATAATCATTTTATCACAGAACACAACTGATATTAGACAAATCCTATATAAACATTACCTAGATTACACCATGGTGGTGCCATTACCAGCAGAAAATAGAACTACCTCTTTTATTTTTCTTAAGCATAGAAAATAGCTGCTTTACTACATTAAAAAACTCAACCTAGTAACTATGATAAACAACACTTCTGATATTAATGCAAGAATATATTTCTCTGCTATTTATATCACAAGATAATCCACATCATGATGACAAGGACACTCATACTGCCGTCAATTTCATACTGCTGTGCACGAAAGTGCATACAACCACTAGGTGTCAACTATCCAATGAGATGCATAGATTTTACAGCAAGTGAAACACATATCAATGCACATTGTTTACTACATACAAATGAATAAAAACCACATTATATTGTCACAAATATACATTATACTAATACAGACAAGATTGATTAGTGACTAACCGAACCTTTCACCACTTGGAAATAAGATCTGGCAATCTCACCCTGAGGGGAAAGATTCCTAGAATGCCAAACAGGAATCATTTAAGCATGAGTACTTTTTACTGCCTTCCTGTATGAGGCTTTCATCATGGTTCCTGTTTGAAAAATATATGGATCATCAGATGCTAGGGTTTCATTTTTTTCAAAGTAGAAAATGTAACTACATTATACATATACATGACATTAAAATATACTTTCTGCATTTTAGTTATCAGTAGTTGTTGGAGTAAATCAGCTGATACTGAATGCTACCATAAATAAATGTCTTGTCCATACCACATTTACTAACATATTGCAGCCCTCCTTCATAAACATGTATACCTGGTAAGTCAACACAAGGCAGAACAAGAATAAAATTATGTTTTAAAAAAAAACTACAAATAAAAAAAAATCAGTTCTTGTACCTTAAAGCAAACATAAGTTTAAGTGAACATATCAAATATTTCTTACATTCCTTGAACACGTAACCAGAATAAAGGAAAGTCTTTATCTGTTTCGCAGATTTTAGATCCACAAATGGTACGCATACAATAAATTGATATATTGTTTTTACAGTAATATACCATACTGGCTTAAGTTAAATACCTAACTGACTGATCACATGCTGATAAAGGGATTGTTACATTTTTATATGTGTCATTGTCAACTGTAAATCAATGGACAAATGCCAGTAGTCTCCCTTGTTACAATCTTTTGCACAGGCAAATGCTGGACACCCACAAAAAAAATTCCGACAGCATATTTTTTAAAAAATCAGTGAACGAAAATTCTGCTTTGAGACAACATCAAGGGTATAAAGCCTATCTGTAAACTGGCAAAGACTGATAACAAAAAAGGTTACAATGAATAACAAAATGAACAGTCCCATAACAGATGTATATTTTGACAGTTTTCAGTTTAGATTTGTATCAATAACCTATTAAAGACAATACCGGTATTAAAATCTAAATTGATCACAAAAATATGTACACTCCATGCATCCTTTTACTTTCTATCTTGCTACTCCAGGTATATCTTCACTTCAAAGGGAAATGTATCAAAGTCGCTGTTTGTCTGTCGGAACAGCTGGGTATGTTGCCAGGCAACGTCGCCCTTCCCACCACTGAGGTTTGCTGTCAAGGTCATGTTGTCCACACCATTGAGATCACTCACTAATTTCAGATTGTCTGTACCTGTTGGAAATACAAAAATGAGAAAATGAGACATACCTTGCTAGTACTTTTTAAAATCATGAACATTTTCTATATAAGAAAAACTTGATTAACAAATCAAGTGATCATTATTGTTATATATGCTATCATTAACCTAAAGCAGACTATAATGGTCTACAATTATGGCAGTGAGCACAGCTGTAAAAACCTGTGTGCTCAGTGACCCACTCGACTGTAGAACTTCAAGGAAGGCCCATTTCACTAAATTGTAATTCCCATGTACATAATTAAGATTGAATTCTTTTTTAACTAAATACTGTGCATACATGACATTCTTTAATATGATCATTATTTTTCTACTTATATATATATCGAGACAACTTAAGCTTGGCTCATATTTTGAAGTAAAGAACAATTTAGCATTATCACTTCTACCAATAAGAGGCTACACTACAGATGACATCAACACATAAAAGTTCAGAATTTTCTTTCATCATACTTTTCCAGCTGCAAAAGATTTATGTACAGAACTTTCCTGAAATGGCCATAAAACCAAGTTGACTTGGAAGCTAGAGATATATACGAAAGAGATCAGCATTTATTAGTCGACATAATTTGACATACCAGGTATGTTGTCTCAAGAAACATTTTTCTTTGATATTTCACCTACTGACTCAAATTATCTGTTTACTTTAATAAGGTATGAAACATCACCCAAACTCTGCCTACGACATTTTCTTTTTTTTTTTTTTATTCTAATCAACATTGTAAGGTCTCTAATTATTTTGTTATGATAAAACACTTTGCATAAACCTTTGATTCAATCACCTTCAGCTTAAGTAATGTTTCATTAGCTCGACAATGTTGTGAGGGAAAAAAAAACAAAAAAAAACTTGAAAGTTTTAATTCTTGCCGTTTGATTTTGGCTGACACTGCTTCATAACGTAGTAATAGATTCTTTACCAAAAAATGTGTTTGTTAAATTTTATCATTAGTAATGACAACCTTCAGTGCAATGTCACAGAGACCTTTTAACTGTATGCTGAGCATTGCCTGCTAGTGATGTATACACTTGATAATGTATTTATATATTTCAGGTTTCAACATGTTAAACTGCCTCAAAAGCTATTGGTGAGAGATAAATGTGAAGAAAATTTTGCATATATAACCTTTAGGTCAAGGTCAGAGTAACCTAAATCAATGTTTTGCACACTGTCTGTAGGTTATGCATTTTCAGTTTTCCCCATTAAGTTCCATGTCTACATACTGCCAAACTTATATTAACTGAACTTCAATGATTCAAATTTCTTGATGTATCAAATTTTTGTCCTCATTCTAAATTTTATTCCTATATAAAGCTACTAACTTACCCCTTTATGAATCAAACTTTTCAATATATCAAAGTGCTTTCATGGACAGTTATAATCAGCTATGATGCAGTAGTCATTGACACCTCATGATTCAAATTTTAAAAATACCAGTACTGTTCCTTACACATTGTTACAATAATGACTGGACACTAATTAAAATTAAAATGTATACTAACAGTCTATAACATTTAATCAACAACAATTATTGGACATTGTTTGATGTTCACACTGCATTGTGATAGTAGCATATATTGATACATGTATATAATTTACAGAACTGTGAAAACATACAGAATAAATCCTGAACTTATGACCACCACCTGAAGCTGACGTTCATTTCATTTATAACTGATGCGTAAAAACATATACTGCAGGCATATGTACCTATTGAGAAAAAATAAACGTTTACACATTATCCATTTCTTCATCATTTCTTTAAAAAGTTATGTTTTTGTTTCCAATATGAACAAATGTTTCATTAATAAAAAAATCCTCTCTGTATCTAAACTTTATTTTGGTAACTGTTGTATTTGTTAAGGTAGAAACATTGCGCCAAAAAAAATGGGTTTGAACATGATAATGTCAATATAAACAAATGATTCAAAGTCTTAATGTCCCTTGAACTTCAAAACATTGAAGTTTGACTGTACATGGTACATGTACCTTTCATGGTTCAAAAGTTATGACCTGGACAAGAACATCCAGCATACATAATGCCCTTGAGAGAATGATTTTGACTCCTCAAAACCAGATCTGACTCTTCAGATGGAAGGGATGCCGTGTCTATTTCAACTTTTTGATCCTTAAGATTGTGACTTGGCATTTAAAATTGTCAAATAACAAGGGTGAACTGAAAACCTTAAAAAGTTTACACTCCTTTGACCTTGAGGTGAAAGTCACAGTGACATAATTTCAATGGCTACACATTGCCTTAGGATAATGCATTTGTGTTTTAAATTTTGTAAAGTATATAGTTTGTCATTGACTTAGTGATCATCGTAACCAAGAAAAGTTGAAAAATTATTACAAGAATGATAACTAACACACTATTGCAATAGTGTTAAAATCTTACCTTTCAGTATTGCACACTGATTGTCACTACAGAGTCTCCAAGACACAACACCATTCTCATAAGTTGCACTCTTGACACATACTTCAACATTGCTGATCTTTAACCCTGTTTCTATTTGGAGAAAAGGGCAAAATAGCAATCAAGTGTTAAACTATATGTATGATGAAAGTATTAAGATGTTACTATAATAATCAAATGAAGAAAAGCTATAGATTCAAACATTGAAACTTCATTTACTGTACTAGAGATTGCTTCACACCCAATCTCTACATAGACCATCCCATCTCTACATAGACCACCTCATCTCTACATAGGCCATCCCATCACTGAATAGACCATCCCATATCTAAATAGACCACCCCATCTCTACATAGACCACCCTACATAGACCACCCCATCTTTACATAGACCACCCCATCTCTAAACAGACCACCCCATCTCTACATAGACCACCCCATCTCTAAACAGACCACCCCATCTCTACATAGACCACCCCATCTTTAAATCGACCACCCCATTTCTTCATAGACCATCCCATCTCTACATAGACCACCTGTTCTCTACATAGACCATCCAATCTTTACATAGACCACCCCATCTCTATATAGACCACCCCATCTCTACATAGACCACCACCCCATCTCTAAATCGACCACCCCATCTCTACATAGACCACCCAATCTTTACATAGACCACCCTATCTCTACATAGACCATCCCATCTCTACATAGACCACCCCATCTCTAAATTGACCAATCATTCTATACTAGTTAAAGAAAATATATTTTCTATCATGTCCTTTGCCTTGGTTCATGCAAACATCACCAGTAAAAAAATAAAAAATTAATCTTACTGAAACGAACTAAATATTTGAGAGTGGCACCTCATCTACACAACAAGCTACTTGGTATCAATTGAAACAATTATTCTTCTAAATTGAATTACCAATTTTGTAACCGAACTGATAACTAAAATATTACCTCAATCAATTAACCTTTACTGTGAATTCATAAAATACAATTACCTGGGTATTTGTTAATGCAATGTTAATTCTCATCATGAAGGTTTTTATTGATTGCATTGTAGTTAAAAACACATGAACATTGCCTGGGTACTGTAGTATGTACAGATATAGCAACACAACATTGATGGAAGAAAGAACACATGAACATTGCCTAGGTACTGTAGTATGTACAGCAACACAACATTGATGGAAGAAAGAATATGACTTGTCATTAGCTAGTTCCTTCATTGGAGAAATCAACATACACCATATACAAGCTGCTAGTTTATTTTAACAAATAAACATGTTTTTTTTCTTGAAATTTCAAAACAAAATTCACAAGCAAGAACTGTAATGGTATAAATTATAAACTGTTATATTTATATATCATACAGAGTTATCTATCCCTGTCTATTGTTATTTTTATACTTTTAATAAAAAACAGAATGGCCACATTTATCTGATTACAACCAGTGCAATTTTGAGAACGTGTCAAAGTGCATAATTGAATAACTTTTTTAATACTCATTTACCATTAGGTTATGGATTTTTATATTATCAATTAAAAATAACAAGAATATTTTCATGTTTGCTTTTGAAATTAGAGTATTAAGAAAGAGAAGTGTGACCATACCTTTGAAATCAAACTTCCAAGACAGGGCGGCTACAGGTGATTCCTCTGTTCGTGCTAAGTACACCATTTTCCAGTCATGTTCTTCCTTTCGGAAAATGTTCGAACATTTGGACAAACAGGAGACAAACCCAGATGTTTTCTTATTTCCGTCAGTGACTCTAGTATACTCATCTTTGGCACAGTTATACCTGTCAAAATCACATAACGCATAAACGCAATCCATTGTCCTGGATTAATGACCTTTGCAAATTAGTAGTATTGTACAATAAATTACTAGTGTACCAAAGTCCATCGAAGTCTGAAATTATTAAGAATGTGCAAAAATCAATGAGCATGTGCAAAACTTGATTTTTCAGCATCAATGCATATTAAAGAGTTTTTGCTTCGTTATAAGTTAACATTTATTATAATATCATTGAACCTTGATTTTGATATCCTTCTAGCTTCTAAATAGGTATATATGAAGATGGTCAATATACATATTATCGTAGTATATGTTAAAATATTATTGATATGCTTTATTTGAAATAAATCTTCAAAAATAAAGAAAGATTACACGATAAAAAAAAATACTAAAGGTTAGAATTTTGCATTTTAATAGATCAATGTATTAAATCTATATATGCTCCAACAAAAACACATTGTATGCTATATTATTTGTTACCCACCTTACATGTAATAACTTCTTCTGTTTTTCATTGTCTGTAAGGGTAAAGACAAATGGACCAGTGACAGCCTGAGATGAGCTTCCAGTTTCGCCACGAGCTTGTCTCCATGCTAGTGACCCTGTGGTCCGTCCTGACAGGTTATTCTTGTCATTTTTCTTCTGTGTGATAAATTCAACCACCTCTGCTACATACCTTAGCTCCATTTCCTTACGTCTCGCTTCTGAAACCACTTTGTTTTTTTCATTCCATAACCGGAAACAAACCTGTCCCAACCAGTTTTCTCGGACTTCCCGTCTTCGATCCATCATTTCTTTGAAATTAGAACTGTACCTCCAGCTAACATCTTGCACTTCATCCTTGGAGAATGCTAAAACATAGGTCAGTTTCTTTCCCCATCCAACTTCATACAGTAGAGGTTTATCACAAACATTCTCACAAGGGTCACAGTGAAGCCATCGTTTCTGACTAGTTGAGTACACTTCTGTCCATACATGGTCAGTCCAGTCCAGGACATATCTGGCCTCGAAACCCGCTGCCCTACAACACAGTGTAAAACAGTTAGCCCACTCCCCACATCGGCCCCTCTTTGTGTCCAAAAGTCTACCTGGGTCGTTGTAGCGGGGAAAACGCACAAATCTATTACATCTGTCACATCTGTAGTTTTCTACACGTGAAGCTCCCCAGCCCAAGTCCTCCTGACTTGGTTCTGCCATGCCTACACTCCGTGTCTTTCCCTGGCAATTGTCACAGTCTGGAGCATCCACCCACTTGAAGAATGAACTTTTAAACCAGGAAAGGAGAGATAAAAGAAAACAGTCCTGAAGGCCCACTCCAGAGGCTTCCTTATCAGCTGCCTGCAAAGCACTGAATTTTTGTTTTGCCTCCTTGTTCAATTCTTCCATTGGAATAATGGACCTTGCTTTCATCTGAAAGTCTCTCCTTTCATAGCTTAGCACATGAACCAGATTTGAATCAATCTTCATGAAAAATTGCCTTTCTGCTTGCTGTAATGAAACAGTTGTAAAATTAGTCATTTGGATAATAAAATGTGACATTTTATTTCAATTTATGATTGATTTTTAATAAATGTATTGATGTAGGTTTGTTATTACCACATATAAATAGTCACGTGTCATTATCTGCTATTGATATATTAATATATATATATTGCACAAGAATGTTTATATAGGCTGTATACATGGACATGTAAATGTTTATCTGCTTGCTTGTACATTGATTAATGATAGACAAAGGTACATGTGTAATCTAATGGCTACTGGTTAATAATACATATACTTGAAACCGCATTTGTAGCTCTACCATGGTATACTACCTGCATAGCCTGACGTGACCTTTGGGCGACTTGTCTGACTGAACTAGGTGTAACTGTAGGCTGCTGAGGTGTGGACTGTCCTGCTGATGGCCCACCAGTAGAAGACCTGACAAGCTTTATGGCAGTGTAGAGCTCATTCCTTACTTGTATCAGAGTGAGAGTTGGGGGAATGTTGGTAGGAAATGTCAAAAATTCACCATCCTGTGATAGAATAAGATAAATCAATTATTTTGTAAGTAACAAAATGCTAAACAGTTAGTAATATGCTCTCAAATGCAAATGTCTTATCAATTACAAATTCAAAGTACATTCTTCGCTTTTTTTTTTTTTTTTTATTTGTCATGTGTGTATTGGCTTCTTTTAGAATTAATCGGCTAATTTCTTGGAATTATCACGACCGTATAATGCAGAGAATATCACTTTGCAATGCTTTAACTAATGTTGAGTTAACTACCCCTGCTGTGTCTATAAGAAAAACATTTTTCTTCATTCTGACTATCTATATCTACCAAGACTAATATAAAGCCTGCATCCATTTTACCATTTAATCGTGATATACAGATACATACAAAAAGCCCATCATATCTATATCTAAAGTATATATTTTCTTTTAGATTTCTTCAAGACTTGGGGAACACAATCGGAACGGTTTTATAATGTCAAAATTCGTGTTGTAACAGAATGGAATAAACGTCTTTACAAATACGCATGATAACGCCTCATAACGATTAGTAACATATACAACAATTTTTTCCCAATTTTGTACCTCAATAAATCCCATCTCGAACAAACACTCCAGTGCCCCAGACACTGGCAATAATTTGTTTTCTACCGTAGGATTCGAAAGTCTTATTTTTCTATATTTGGAATCATTTGGATGGTTGATGATATTATCGGCGAACTTAAGGAGGATCTCTGATGCCGTGAGAAACTCTTCTTTTCCATTATCGTCGATAAGTTGTTTGACTGTACTGTGTATCTGTGCCATCGTGGAAGCGGAAGTTTTCGCAACTCTAAACATAAAGTCAATCAGACGCTTGATTGAAGAGTATTTTAAGCGTGTGCAAGTCATAAGAGTCTGGTTGAGTGAGACTACCAAAACCATGGGATTCGACGCACAAATGTGAATATTTTTCCCAAAACAGTGCACGAACTTTAATTCCCGATGTAAACAGCGTTTTCATTATACTTATGTAAAACTTAATTGTCGTTAATAATAATAATAATAATATTTATTCCGATAAATACATGGCAAACAATATTACATTAAAGAGATATTCTATAAAATCACACCAATTTTAAGAAACTATTGTAACCCTGGTAAAATACTAGCCGCAATATACCATTCGGCTGGAGAGAACTTCTCTTTAGCTCGATTTGGTTGAGCGTCAGACTAGTAAGCCAGGGGTCCCAGGTTCGATTCCTAGCAGATGATTCTAAAAAATTGTGTCACAGAAGATAAAACTAAATTAAAATTTGATTGTGCATGATAAAATTCGACTAGTATAATACGCCCATAAAGTCAATTACTGACTTAATTCCAGTGGGGTCCTTTTTAAAATGCCGGTATATTTTTTAATTAATCAAAAATAAATTCAATGAAAGACTAAAAAAGAACTGAGACAATTAAACAATTAAAGCTAAATCTTTCGAGAATCCGTATCAAATCATCACATTAAATTTATAGCAAAATCTATATGATTTCATTATTTAATTAATTAAATTAAGATAAGTTTATTCCTGGTTCAGGACTATTTCATAGTCCTCTATACCAGACTCGTTAATACAAAATAATACATCAAAAATACATACATGTATATATCCGGTACTTGACTTGATGTCTAATTTTGAATTATTGCCTTATAGTTAAATAAAAGTTCTTGGTTTTTCCAGTGCTTATTTGTTCTTAAAGGAATTTACATTTACAGCAGATACAACGTTTTCTGGTAGTCCATTCCAAATTTTGACGGTTCGGTTTGAAAAATAATTTTTTCTGAACATAGTTATGCATCGTTTAGGAAGTATTTTCTTTGAGTGACTTCTATTGCTGTGGCGATCTGCAGCATCTCTCCATAATGTGATGGCATTAAAACATTCATTATGATATATCTGAATTGTTATTTTATAGAGTTCTATCATGTCTCCCCTTAATCTCCTAAATGCGAGTGTTGGAAGCTTCAGCTTCTTCAACCTTTCACTATAGGTCAGGTCTTTCATTCCTGGAAGACACTTGGTTGCTGTTCTCTGAACTCCCTCAATCTTGTCAATATGTTTTTGGAGATGTGGGGCCCAGACAGAACTGGCAGTCTAGCTGTGATCTCACAAAGCATTTATATATAGGAATAAAACAGGAATGTCCTTCTGAGAAGTGCAAACATTGAGTTTGCTTTTTTTTTACTTTTTCTAATATTTGTTCATCAAATGATAATTCAGCATCTATTACAACTCCTATGTCCTTTTCTTGTTTTGATTTTTTAAGTTGTTTTCCGCTAAAATGATATGTTGGTTCTATTTCATTTTGACCTCTACTTCTTTCCTTGCCAATTCGCATATGTTTACACTTATCTGGGTGCATCTTAAGTAGCCATGTATTACTCCACTCACACATTATATCAAGATCCTGTTGAAGTTCTATACTATCCTGCTTGTTTTTGATTATTTTTAATATTTTTGTGTCGTCTGCAAATAGGCACATATCTGACTGGACCGTTCCTGGTAGATCGTTCACAAATATAACAAACATCAATGGTCCTAGCACGGAGCCTTGAGGGATTCCTGATGTAACTTAAGCCCACTCTGAATCTGCACCATTATCTGAAACCCTTTGCTGTCGTCCAATGAGGAATGCTGATATCCAAGAGTTAATTTGATTGGAGAAATTGTAAGCTTTTAATTTACTTAGGAGTCTGGTGTGAGGAACTGTACCGAAAGCTTTCTGGTAGTCCATGTAGATATAGCAAATCCTCGTTTTCTTCTGTAGATTGAGTTTTACATTACATGGTATTTCAAAAACTAGAACACAATGGTCACTCTTACCTAGCGCACTTTGATACTCAATTTCTGATAACGAGGTTTCATTCCTTGATATAACAAGATCAAGAACATGCAGGTTATCTTTTCCTCGCCATCTTGCTGGCTCCTGCACATGTTGGAAGAGGAAGTTGTCTTGTAATTTTTGTACAAATTTATACTCCTGCGATTCGATGCTTTCTCCTGTGTTCCACGACTCCATGAATAGTTAAAATCTCCCATTATCAATATTTTTTCATAACGTTTCTGGAACGATTCTTCAATAAGATCTTGTAACTTATTATCATTTTCAGCAGTTCCAGAATCGGATCTATAACTAAGGCCTACTAGGATCTTTGTATGGTTGTTTATACTTATTTCAACAAAAAAGGTTTTCTTGAAATGATGTTTGCATTTTCACTTCGTCCACTCTTAGTTTCGGGTTGACAAGAAGCAGTAGTTCCCTACCCTCTGTATTATCAATGTTTTTACTTAAAAGTGTATAGTTTGAGTTCCCGTCTATCGTATATTCTGATGCTTTTATATCTTGAAATCTAGATTTAGCTTTTACCTCCGTTATTCCTATTATGTCTGGTTTTACATCATTTACTTTTATGTTTAGCTCTGACGTTTTGTTTTTTAGCTGATCGGCGTTTGTGTACATACATTTTAAATTCTTTATAACAGTTTGTTCTTTTCGTTTTTCCCGGTTGTGTGCTATAATCCTCTGGTTTGTTAATCGGTATTGTCTCTTGAGACCCGTACCTTCATGACCTTTCTGGCCCAGGATGGGCCTCGGACTTTGTACGTGAATTCCCCCGATTGATTCTGCTCTCGTTTCCCGTTTTGCCTGTTCCCATAACTGTTTCTCACGTTCCCTTTCTGCCTTTGTAAGGTCATTACTTATGTTTACATTGGTGAAATTTTCCTCTCCTTGTAAGTTCTTTATATTTTAAAATATTGCTTTTTTGGTTTCGATGTTGCCCAATGTTACCAACACAGGTCTGCCCTTTCGTTGCTCATTTCCTATTTCTTTGTTGAATTTACCAAGACGTGAACACTTAATGACGTCCTTCTCCGCATTACTGGTGTTGCATTTACTAAGAATGGTGTTAACATTTTTGATGTCATGCGCTATCCTATCATTCCTGTTAGATGAATCAAGTTCCGGAATGCCGTATATAACAAGGTTACATTCCTTAGCTTTTCTTTCGTTGATCTCGGACATAATGTTTATTATGTTCGAATTTGGTTGTGATTTTGCCGTCCCCGCTTCATGTGGCTTTGGCCATTCTAGATTCCTCTGTTCCGAGTCTCTCACCTCTTTTAGGATGGACCGTACGGCATCCTCATCACATTTTGTTTTCATCGTGCTTTCTAGGGCCGATATCCTACTCTCGTATTTCTCCATAATTTCTTTACACCTTTCCTCGATTTTTATATCTGTGATGATGTTTTTCTGGACAATTTCCCTACAAGCAATACAAAACCACATGTAGTCTGATTCTTGAAGAATCCTGTATTTTTCGTTTGACTTCCCTAGGCATCCAATGCAATTAAATAGCTTAATTAATTAAAATTAGAGAACATGACTAGAATAATCTTTAGCTACTATTAATTCAGACAATGGTATATAAACAAAAAACACTGGTTTATTCTGAAAAATATGAGATTAAGCAAATAAAACAAAAAGACCTACCACCTTCCGGAACTGGCCAAGACTAGAGTATTACAAGGAGATAAATTGAGTATCTAAAAGTAGACAAAATCGGAATTTTCTTCAGCTTTTGCTTTAATCATCAAATAATTCTTAACCTTGACTTTGAACTGCTGTTTTCATTTTGTCCCTTTGATGTTATCTGGGAGAGAATTCCAGTCTTTGGCGGCCGAATAATAAAAAGTAGAGGATTCCATGTTTTTAACATCCTTTTCTGAAAAATTCATGTTACTTGGCCTGGTGCCGAAATGTTTCGTGTTTTTAGTAAAAAATTCCCTCATATATTTTGGACATTTGTTGTCGAAAATATCAAAACAACGGTTCAAACGAAGTTGAGTCACTCTTTGTCTCACATTAAGCAAGTCAAGTTTTTCAAGCTGTTTGAAGGAAACAGTAGCTTTAGAGTCAAGATTAAGAACGAAACGTACCATTTTGTTTTGTATAGTTTGAAGTTTTCCCTTAAGTTTTTTGGACAATCCTTCATACCAAGATGAACAGACGTAGTCAACGTGGCATTGAATTAAAGCAGAACATAAAGTTTTACGAGATTTTTGAGAGAGACAGCCACTGTTGCGATACAGAAATTTTAATCTTTGATTGACTTTAGATACAATATTGGAGACAATTTCTTCTCCAGAGAGGAATTTATCGATTTCAACCCCGAGGTATTTTACAGACGATTGTGAGCCAATTTCGTGTCCAAAACAAGACATTTTGAAATTTTCTTTTGGGGCCAAAGAAAATACTTTCAGTCTTGCCAAGATGAAGAGATAGTTTGTTGTCAACTAGCCAATCGTGACATGATTCCAAAACAGCAGATAATTTTAAGTAAACAATAGTTAATTTTTTATGAGAGAAAATGATTGCACTGCCATCCGCATATAGAAGGAGTTTACATGAGTTGTCAAAACTAAGGGCCGGTTTCCAAAACGGCCCCTTCTCTGATTCAAATTTCCTGTTGGTGGTGCATTGCCCATGCCGTTGTGGTCACAAATCTATAAAGTATAAAGATTTAGGTCACTTGGTTTGTTTTTTTATGGCTCCTCAAAGTTGTACCTTTCAGAAGCTGTCTAAGTGTTGATAAAATGTGCATGTTATGTAAAATATTAATGAAAATCTAATCAAATGATAGTCACCGTAAAGAATACATTCATGGCATAATTGTGACAAAAAATCATGTTTCCATCGCGCCATTTGGCTGTTTTATGGAAGAAACAATCTCAAAAATGCCATTTTCGATGATAACATTTTAGACACAAAAAC